AGTTTTCTTATTTTCATGGAGAACATTTTCCAGTACGTTCCTAAGAAGCACACATAGGAAATTAATTCTTATGTGACTTGAAATTTCTTTACTTTAACCTAATATTGATGGTTTATTTAGGTATAGAATTATAGGTTAAAAACTATTTTTCTTGGGCTGGTGTTGTAGCTCAGTGGTAAAGCACAGAACACATGAGGCACTTGGTTCAATCCTCAGTACCACATAAAAATAAATAAGTAAAATAAAGGTATTGTGTCCATCTATAACTGAAAAAAAAATTTTTTTAAACCACAATTTTTTTCAGAATTCAAAGGCATTGTTCTAACATCTTCTAGCTTTTATTGGAAGTTATTGTTATGTAATTTGTTTCTTCTGTAATTCATTTAAATTCTTTCAAGTTTTATAAAAAGAAAGGCCTTGGGGAAAGTGACATCAGCATACTGGCAAAACAAAAAGTGCTGGATACTCTTACCTCCACAAATGCCCTGATTCAACAATACACAGAACAATTCCTGGTGAAAAATTCAGGAAACAGCCTAGGGGCTCTTGTACCACGGAGTAAAACTAAATCAACTGTATCAAAGCCAAGAAGAAAATCTGAGGTCCCCCTTTTGCCATAATGTACTCCTTAAACCCTGCACAATGCCACATGAACTGTAGGAAACCTTTATCTCCTAGCTTCTTCCTGGGGAAGGAAGGGAAGGGAAGGATTAGAACCTATATCCAACATCTTCACCTTTCTAGAAGCTGCCAGAACAAAGCTGGTTTTTGTCTTGACTTTTGTCTTAAAAAACAAAGGGATCCCAGGTTAAAAGTCATGGATAACCAAGGTTTGGTTTGGATTAGCAATAACACACTTGCCAGCACAACTGCCAGAACCTCTCAAGTTCAGTGTAGAGTGAGTCAAAAACCCCTAAATCCCAGCCTCTCCCTGGGGAAGAAAGACTTGGACTGTGATTAACATTCCAAAGCTTCAGGAAGTTGCCCAAAGGACTGGCTTCAGTTTGAGAACAAAAGTGGAACTCCTATACTGTGCCTGGAGCCCAGTGTGAACAAAAAAATAAAGAGCTTGAGGCTCACTGCTGCTCCAAGACCCACAGTGCAGCAGACAACAGGGGAACAAGAGATTATAAATTCTTGGGGAAAGACAGCAGATCCCTCTGACTGTGAATTCATATGTACAGAGAAGATACATATGCAGAGTAGGATGGAATTTTCCAAAGTCTCTGGCCAATCTGACTTATGAGAATCTTCTGTACAAGGCATGTCACACTGAAAGTGATGATTTACTTTCTTTCTTTTTTAAGGAACAGACACCAATACAGAAAATTAAGCAAAATGGAGAAACAAGGAAACAGGGACCAAACAAAGGAGCGAGAAAAATCTGCAGATACTGACCCTAACAATTAAACAGAGGTTCATGAATTACCTAAGAGAATTCTAAATAACTAGATCAAGATAATAATGCATGAATAAAGTAAGAATTTCAACAAGATAGAAAATTTTAAAATATGCCAACAAACTGTAACCTAGAAGAAGTGAATAAACCCCTAGAAACACACAACCCGCCAAGACTGAATGATGAAGAAATAGAAAATAAGACTTACAACTAGATTTAACTCAAAACCTAAAAAAAAAAAAAAAAAAAGCGCCCAGGAACAGATGGCTTTATTAGTGAATTCAACTAAACATAGTTAAAGACAAATATAAACTCTTCCCAAAAAGTGAAGACAAACTCATTTCAAAGGAACTTCCACATGGACTCTATGAGGTCAACATTACCCTGATATCCAAAGCCAAAGACACTTCAAGAAAACTAATAAAACTGATGAATACCCATGCAAAAATCTTCAACATAACAAAAACTGAATTTGAAAGTACATTAAAAGGATCACACACCATGATCAAGAGAGATTTATTCCTGAGATGCAAGAAAGGTTCAACATACAAAAATCAATGGTGATACAATATATTAACATAATGAAGAACACAAACCACATGATCAGATCAACTGTGATACAGAAAAACATTTGACAAAATTGACCACCCTTTCATGACATAAATTCAACAAACTAGGAATACTAAGAAATTGCCTCAACATAATAAAGCACATAAGTGAATAAAACTAACTTCATATACAACAATGAAAAACTAAAGGCTTTGTTATGATCATAAAGAATTCAAGAATGCCAATCTCACCATTTCTAGTCAATCAACACAGTACAGAAGTCCTATCGAGAATAATTAAACCAAAAAAAAAGTAAAACAAACCTGTTAGAATAAATGAGTTCATTAATATTGCATGATACAAAACCAAAATATGACAATTAATCTCACTTTTTAGTTGTCAATGGACATTTATTAATTTATTTACATGTGGTACTGAGGATTGAACCCAGTGCCTCACACAAGCTAGGCAAGCACTCTCCCACTGAACCACAACCTCAGCCCCTCTTCTTTCATTCTCCTTTGTTTTTTTTTTTTTAACAGTGCTGAGGATTGCCTTGCGTATATGCTAGGCAAGCACTCTATCACTGAGCTATCCAACTACCCAACCCAATCACTTACTAACAAAGAACTATCCAAAAAAGATATTAAGAACACAAACTCATTTACAATAGTAATAAAAAAAATACTTAATTAAAACAATATGGTACTGGCATCAAGACTGACACAGACCAATGAAACAAAATAGAATGACCAGAAATAAAACCTGAACACACACAGTATATGATCTCTGAAAAGGCTATAAAGTCTATACAATAAGGAAAGGATAGGTTCTTCAATAAATGGTACTGGAAAAACTTGATATCCACATGCAAAATCTCTTTGATTTTAATAAGCTTGAATCTTATGTACATAATCTTATGTACAAAACAGATTAAAGACTTAAAACTAATATCTGAAACTATAAAACTCCTAGGAGAAAAAAAAAATAAGATTCTTGACACTAATATTGGCAACAATTTCTTGGATATACACCAAAAGCACAGGCAAGAAGAATAAAAATAGACCCAAAGAACTCAAACTGAAAAGCCTCTGCACTGCACAGGAAATGAGAGCATGAGAAGCAATATATGGGATAGGGGAATATAGTTGCAAATTATGCATCTGATATGGGGTTAATACCAGAAATTCTTAAAACTCAACAGCAAAAAAATCAATTAAGTTTAAAAATGGAAAAATGACCAACAGATAGAGGCGTGTGTGTGTGTGTGTGTGTGTGTGAAATGATCAGCATCACAAATCATCAGGGAAATGCAAATCAAAACCACAATGAGCTATCACCTTATAACTATTAAGGTAGCCATTATCAAAAAGCAAAAAATAACATGTAGTGGCAAGACTGTGGAGAAAATGGATCCTTGAGTTCTGTTGGTAAGAATGTAAAATGGTATTGTAACTACAGAAAATAGCAGGTTCCTCATAAAATTAAAAACAGAACTACTTTTATGATCCAGAATACCACTTCTGAAAAGAACTAAAAGCAGCATCTCAAAGAGATATCTGTATATCTGTGTTCACTGCAGCACTATTCACAATGGAATTAATAAGAAAAATGTCAGATATAGCGCGTGTGTGTACACACACACACACCCCATGGAATACAATTAATTCAGTTTTAAAAAGAGAAAGAAATCCTGCCATGGGTGAACTTTCAGGAGCTTATGTTAAGTGAAATAAGCACATCATAGAAGACAAGTACTTCATGAATCCACTTAGT